TGAGGTGCAGCCACTTGGGTACCCTGAAAGATGTCCTCTGCCCTTACCACTGGTACCCTTTACTATCCTTGGTTGCACCTCTGGCCCCTAGTTCTAAGATGGAGGTGGGACCAAGCTTTTCTTCTCGTGAAGCCTTGAACCTGGACGTGGACAAGGCCTCCCCACAGGCCCTGGGTACCTTCCTCCTGCGGTGAGGGCTGCCAGCTTCTCCTCCCCAGGCTGAGGTGGGGAAGAATCATCCAGGATTCTCTGGAACTGCAGCTCTAGGTCTCGGGGCTTGAGCAGGCGAGAGCCCTCATAGAGCCACACTTTGAAGAAGCGACCTTTGTGGTAGACGGCCACATGCCTGCTCTCCGCCAGGTGCTGTAGCACATCTGTGACAGAAGCCGGCGAGCAGCTGAGGCAGGACCTCAGAGAACAGTCAGTTCCCCTCTGGAGCCTTGAAATGGCCCATCTCACCCACACAGGTGATCCCTGCAGACTCTGCCAGGCCCCACATCTGAGCCGGGCCTTCCTTCCTCTAGGGGTAGATTTAAACACTAGGCCAGTCCTTGTGCCCCAAGTGAGTCCCCTGCCTCCTCTTTAGGGACTGGCTGTCTGCTCCCGAGTTCCACCACAGCAGCACCGCTCTTCTCGCTGCCCTTTACGCATGACTACCTTCCTAGGCACTTGGAGGCCCTGGAAGGAGAGCCACTATTCTGGACCCCTTGGGGTCCCAGCATCAGCACCATGTCTGCAAAGAACAACTGTCCAATCCAGAATCTTTCATAAACAGAGCACTTTTCACACATTCACCACCATGAGACACTGGAGTGCTTAGAGACAAATAGTAGTTGGGCACTGAGCTGCCCTGGCTAGGGACTTCTCGATGGGTGCCTGGGAGGGTAGGACTTCCTCCTCGTGGGTGCCTGCCTAGCCCAGTACCTGTCTCTTTGCCTGGGATTCGTGTAGTGTTGAACATCCTCTCCATCTGGTAGGAGCACATGGGCACCATGCCGAGTGCCATCACCTGGGAGGAAGGGCCGGCATTGCTTAGATTCAGGCCTCCTTTTCTTACTCCACCCCTTAACCCTCACGCAACTCACAGGCCTGATCTCTTCACGGTCCAGTTTGCGGCGATACATGATCATGGCATGAACAGCATTTCCCAGACGTGCTGCTTGCACATTTGTGTTCTTGATATGTATGAAATCCTACAGACAGAGCAGAGTCTGTAGGCTGGGCACCTGTGTCACCTGGGTCTCACTAGCCTGAGGAAACTTTTTCAGAGGACTGAGGTATTGTATCCCCTGTCTGTGTTCTATCCTGCAGCATGTCAGGGTGATCTTCCAGGAACCTATAACTGACAGGCTCTAGTTTCAACCAGACCTGCTCTCTGCCCATTCATACTTTGCTTATTTTGCTTCAGTGGGGTTCTACCATAAAACAACAACAACAAAAACAAATCTTTGATTTGGACAGGTTGTAAGTTGTTAAAAAGACAGTTTGTAGATAAGGGAAATTCCAGGAGGACAGCAGGGTATACTTTGGACAGCAGGAAGGCCAGCTAGCTACCTGTCCACAGGGATATGGTAGGGATACCAATCATATGAAGTGAGACAGACAGTGACTTCCTGGGTATTACAAGAAGCTGGCATTCACCCCGTGGTCTGGTGCCACAAAGGGACAAAAGCAAAGTGTGGATTTTAAAGAAGTTCTCTGAAAGTGGTATCAAGATAGCTGAGAACAAGGGCCTGCGAGGCCAGAGCGGGCAAGGGGCTAGGGAGCAATGGAATACGCTGTAGCTAGCCTGAGAAACTCAAGGACAGTCTCAGAATTCTCCCTGTTGTCAGGATCTCCACTCCCCCTAGGCAGATTCTAGCCTGCTCCCCCAGGATCTTTCCTCCCTTTTTCTTTCTCTCAGGCCTAACTTGCCCATGGAAACGGACGCAGAGGCTCTGGGTTGTACTCTAGATCCTTGTTCCAGGGCTGGGCACAGGAGCCCTGGGTGGCTCTGCTTCTTACCATGGCATAATAGTTGCTGTTCACCATGAGGGGGCTCCTGCCTCGGAGGTAGACGTATTCTTCCCACCAGTCACTCACCTGTGGATAAACGGGCTGGAGGTTAGAGCTGAGGCGGGCAGCTCAAGAACACGGAGCATAATAACAAGCCCAGGAGGGCAAACTTACATAGTTGGTCGCCCACCATGACTTGAGAACCAGGTATTTCTGCAGTCTGGGGGCAGTCTTGTCCTGGAATTCTCTGGCCAGTGTCTCCATGCGGTAAAATTCGTCATCATCCAATAAGGGCCGCACAGAATCCAGATACTGTCCAGCCAAATTATTAACATGAAGAGGGCTACCTCCATCTTAACCTTCTTACCACCTCTCCTCAACCAGACCCCATTCTTAAGCCAGCTATTTGTAGAAAACAGTCCTTATCAGTTTGAACTGGTCCTCTGAATCTGGGATTTTGTGTTCACTGGTGCTCAGGCTCTTACCCTTTGGACTGTGGCTGGCACACTGGGAACAGGAAGCTTCGGCAGAGATGTCTGGAAGCTGTAGAGCATGGGCCGTCTGCTGGACAAGAGGCGAACACAGACCTGAAAGTACAGAGCACGGTGTTGAGGGAGGAGCTAGCAGGAAGAATGGACACAAACTAGAAAATGAAATTACTAAGACTTTCAGAATCCTCCCAGCTCCTTTAGGACAAACCCATGCATCAGGCATTGGTGTTCTGTCTGCCTCTCCCTTCTTCCTCAGAACCCCAATGAGAGTCCCCATGATCTCAAACCAGATGCCTGCACCCTCCAGTGCTTCTGCTCACAGCCCAGATCTTGGTGGCATGGCTGGTCTTGCCGTGCATCTCAAACATCCACCCGTGGTAGGAAAGCAGCAGCTTCAGGGTTTGACGGAATAAGAAAATGCCTGCTGCCCAGACTCCGGTAGAGAAGAGGACCATGCTGACAAGTGTCTGGGTCTGATGGCTCCCGTAGTGGCCATACCTATTAGAGGAGGCAGAAGGCTTCAGGATATCCCTTTGAGGCCATCCTTCAGGGAATTCTGATTGCAGTTGATGGCTATGAACTGTCTTGGGGGAAGAAACAGAGAAGGACCTCTCTGGATGCACTCAGGTCTGAGTGTGTCAAATACAAACTGCCTCCAAACTGAGAGGTGGTAGCCCTGTGAAAAGGCCCCTTGGCCACCAATGGCTGCTTTTCTGGATCTGTCCAGGACAAGAATCCTGGCCTTGGGAACTGACCTGGCCCTTCTTCCTCAAACTCGTGTCTTCCAGGTGCCTTACCTTACAGGGAGGCATCTCTGGATGGAATGGACCAGCCCCATGGAGATATCCACCTTGCAGTAGTTAGAACCAACTGTTGCCATGACAACAACCAGCCAGCTGGTGGGGCTCCCAGGGTACACACCCCTAAGGATGCCATTCTGTAGGGGAAGAAACAGGAATCCTTGTGGAGTAGGAAAATGTGCAATTTAGGCACCTGGGAAGTCTTGAGAAAGGGTGCCTGGGCTTTGCCTCATCCAGTCTCGGTGTTCTTCCTCCACACAATTACACCTACATTATATGTCCCCACCACATCTTCATCATCCTGATTTCTGCACTTCGAAGGGTCGAGCTTATCTATAACCAGCAGTACTGCGGGCCAAAAGCAGAGACAGACGCTGACAATGAGGCTAACTGCTGACAGCTGGCCTCTGCCTAGACATGGCTGGAAAAAAAAAAAAAAGAAAAAAAGAAAAAAAAAAAAAAAAGAAAGGAAAAAAAAAAAAAGGCCCAGAAGACCACCTATGCCCACACCTTGAGTCGAATAAGGCGTTTCTTCCAGGAGTTGATTCCAGACAAATAGATGTGTCTCAGAGCCTCCCGACTAAGCCGGAAGTCGACCCCGTCCGGGGTCACAGTGAACTGGAAAGCTACTGCTTGGTGTGCTTCCGCCATCCCGGGGGGTCTAGTCAGCGCCTAAGAGTAGGGGCAGAAGGTGCTTAGTGTGCCCGGCCCAGCCCCGCCCCCGCCCAGCCACCTTTAGCTGAGGCTCCGCCCCCCCACTGCCCCATTTGGTCCTTGCTTCCTCCGCCCCCTGCCCGGTCCCCTGTGCGACCACCCCCAAACCCGCCCGTGCCCCAACGCTACGCGCCCCGCTGGGCCCTTCCAAGCCTGGCCAACCGCCGCTGCCGCCGAACCCTCGTGGGGTTCCGGACAGGCCCATCTGCAATGGTGCTGGAGTCGGGCTCCAGGTGCCGCCCTTCGTTCTCCTTGGGGTCGGGGAAAGACGCCCAGGGAAGGGAGCGAGCCTAGACAGAGACTAGGTTCGGGTGCTCCCTGCACTGTCCTTGCTCGGACAGCTCCGATGAGACTAAGGGTGAAGCGTTGTGGGATGGAATGGCTCTGGGTCCTGCTGGCCTCCCTGTACCGGTCCCCCACTCACAGCTCAGGTTTGCTTCTGTCGGTGTATGGGTCTGGCCACTCTGGCTCATGTCCCCACGTCCTTCAGGCCTGGCCACCCCTGCCCGGCCCCGCCCTGCTCTCACTGGGAACTTGACACCCAGTCCCAAATTGGGGTGGAGAAAACAGATATAGGCGGAAACCAAAACCCCCTCCTTATGGGAACAGCCTAGGAAGGGTGGGTAGGGTTCCCACAAGCCTGCTGAAGGTTGCTGGAAGGGCTGGGGAATGGAGGGTCTCACGTGAGCATAGTTGCATCAGTACTAAAAATAGCTGAATGTAGGGGAAAGGTCACCAGGAGTCAGCTGTGCAGCCTGCTCCCTAATTCCAGGTCTCAAGGTTGGCAGTCACATCTAGGGCCCAATGTTGCCCCTTCCCTCTCCAGTTCTCTCCTGCAAGTCCCCTTTTTGTTAGTTCTAAGCGCAATCTTCATCATTTGTCACCTTAAACTGGAGCCAGGGAAGATTACAGATAGGAGATCTCAATGAGTAGAACAGACCCCTCACCACTTTTAAGCCCAATTCACTAAACAGAAATCACTTAAATCTGTATCCCTCAGTTTGCATTTCCAAAGAAGTTCATTTATTTTGGTATACAGCCCCAGGGTTCCCATATGCCCACCTCAGGCAACTACTCAGACAGGGGAACAGAGGTCAGCTATTTCAACAACAGTCTCACTTAGAGGCACAGCCCAGTCTCTGGGGTCTCCTGTTCTTTGGCCCTCCCTCCAAGGTCCTGCCCTGGAGGCTCCAGATGAAATTTGAGGTGGGGTTGGATCGTCAAGATGATGTGTGGAAACTGGTCAGCTGGCCCTTCTGCTCGAAGTAGAATTGGAACCGAGACTGGGCATACTCCTAAGGAAGGAAACCCATAATACAGAGTAGTGTTAAGGCTTGGAAGCAATTATCCTTTACCTGCTGGGTTCTGCCCATAGCCCCCGGGGACTGCCCAGATTTCCTGGAGGCCCTGACCAGTGCTACTCCCCAGCCCCACCCAGCATGCCCACTGTACTAATTACTTACCAAGTAGCCAAAGTCTATGGTGGACATGGATGCCTGCAGGGTGGACCACAGACCCCAGAAAAAATGAGATGCCAAAGCATAGCTAGGGAACGGGGCAGGAAAAGGAGATGCCATGAAGAATCCACTTAGCATTGCCTGGCTTCCTCCAGGCTGGTCGGTCTCCAAAGTCCCATCTGCTCTGCCATTTTCCTAATCCCTTCCCTCACTGTGACTCTTTTTGCTTTTTTCTGCTGGCCTTTGATCTTATCTTCCATCTCTACACTGGCACCTTACCTGTACTACTTCTTTTTCTTCTAATCCCTCCCTCCTTCCTCCCCGCCCTTCCCTTCCTTTCTTACTGATTGCTCTCTATCAGCAAATCTTCTTCCAGCTTCTTCTGCTCCTCTTCAGAGAGGACATCACCTTTCTGGACTTCTGCCAGATAATGGCGAATGAAATGGAGCTGAGATCAAAGGACAAGAGTCAGAAACTCGAGAGATTATCACCCTCTGTAGCCAGTATTTTTTTCCCAAACAAAATGAAAAAACAAACCAAAACCAGAATGTTTCTCTTTTTCCAACTGCCAGCCTATATACCTGCTGTTCTCTAGTGGGGTAGTCTGTGGGTCTTGCGTTGTAGAAAGGCCATCCCTCGTGAGTATAATCATAAACCCACTCACAAAAGTGATTGCCAATGTCAAAGCCCCTGGGGAAAGAGAGCAAATACTCAGTCCATGAGCAGCTGGGATGCAGAGATGAAGGCCAGGCCTGTTTTGTCAGGGCCCTGTAGGAGGTCCCACAGGAGGCTGTCCTCCCACTCTTACCTGTAGTTATAACTACTGTACTCAAAATCAACCAACATGAGGTTGTCATCATTTTTTGGTTCTGAGAGCAGTAAGATGTTCCCTGGGGGGAATGGGGATTTTGATTACTTCAGGGCACTCTGCTCCCTTCAGCTTGGCTCAAAGATTGACATACTTTCTCATACCTTCCTGGATGTCATTGTGGCAGAAGACCACTGGTGATGGGACAGCATCTAGTAACTTCCTATAGAGGAAGAAGGGCATAGGTGGTAAGGCCTGTGACCACAGCCACCTTCCTAGGCCAGCTCCTGGATCTGGTCCTCAGCAAATCCTGGGGAGGATGCTGAGAGATGCCTGGCGCCGCCCCAGTGTGTGCCATTACCTGAGGTTGCCCATCTCATCCTTCAGGCTGTACATCTCCAGCAGGTTCATCTCGGGGGAGCCAGTGGAGGGCAGGTCCTGGATCTGCTTTATGTACCTGTAAGACCCCAAAGAGGATTCATTCACTCTATCTTTCCCCACTCCCTACCCCTATTGATTCTCAAATTTTCCTGTCACTGTGATTTGGGTGAGAATCATGAGATTCCATGATAAATCCTGGAGCACCTATTCACTCAACTAGAGGTTTGGTTTAGCTGCATGGTTCCCAAATTTGACTCACCGCTCCATGGTCCCAAACAACCAGTGGGGCTCCTTAGTGAAGGGCATCTCCATACCATGGAAGCGGGCCATCTTTGTTGCAATGGCTCCTGACAACACTGGGTCCCGGAGCTCTTGAGTTTTCAGTGGCCGGCTCTGTACCCAGTAACCTGTCAGGATGGTGAGGGGGCTGGGGCGGGAGGGGGAAGGGATATGGGATGGGAGGAGATCAAGGTCTTAGGGAAATTTCCCTAACTGGGATTTGAAGGCAGCCAGTGGGGAAAGGGAAGGGCTTGGTAAAAAAACAACAACAACAACAAAAACTGGGCTCTTACCGGGATGTACTGTTCCAGGCGGCCCTCTGGAAACACTCCATAAAGTTGGGGCCCTAGGGACCTCTCTGCAAGAATGGCGAACATCACGCTTTCTAATACCAAGGAGTCTACACCCTGAAGGAAGATGAATGGCAAAGGGGCCCAAGTCAGAAAGTGCCAGAGGTAAGTGGGCACCGGTGCAAAACGAGGTTTTCTTCATCCATCATAGCTAGGACTTCCGGTCTTACAAGGAATTCTGGAGCATCAGCATATTTAGCTTCACAATTTAGACAACACTTGCGCTCCAGAGGTCCAAATTCACTTCAGACTAAGGCCCTCACCTGCAGAATGGCTCCATACACTCGCAGCAACACCTCGCGGGGCTCCCCGCCAACACTGGGCAGGTGGTCGGGTATCGAGCATCGGAAGAGCAGGTTGCTGAGGCCTCCGCTGCAGAGCCACACAGGTCTCGGGCTCAGCGAAGGTTGCCCCGATTGGTGGGGACCCGCTCTAGCCCCACCTCCCTAGAGGATCTCGCCACGCCCCCCGGCACAGCCGCCAGCAGACCCGGCCCGCCCCCGCGTAGCACTGACAGCAACGGAACAGGGCGTGTCTCGAGGACCCTGAAGCTGACCCCTGACCTCACGGGGCAAACGCTCAGCTCCTCCGGCAGCACTTGACGCCAGGCCCCGCCCAGGTACTCCCGGCACCACTGATAGGCTCGGCACTGCGCCTCACGAGACAGCGAGGAAATGCGCCGCCGACCAGGGATGGCCGCCGGGCGCTTAACATCCTGAAAACTGTTCTTGGTCAGGCAGCCGCCGACAGCCCCTCCTCCGGCCACACCTGTCCCATCCGAGGCCATGACGTGGATTCCGTTGGGCTCAACGTCTGCCGACGCTCAGCAACCTTCAGGTGGGCTTAGCTCCTTCCGGCTAAGCTCGGTTCCGCTTCCGGCCGTCCGGAGCGTGCCTCCAGCCCTGGGCTGGTTTCCAAGCCAGATGAGATTCTCAGGGGTGCGGTGTTGAGGGCCAAAACCGACGGCGGGTTTCTCTGAGCGGGGCGCGCTCTGCTTAGGCCCTCTAGGCGGGTCTCTGCAAAGACAGGCTGCTGCGTGTACTGTGTCCGGAACCGAGGAAGTGACGTAGGCCAATCCGGAGCGCCGCAGGCCGTTGGGCTTCAGCTCAGTTACCTGGGGCCAGGCTCTAGGCGATGATGCTAGATTGTGACTCGATTATAACACCTGCATTGTGAGACAGCCGACTAGGGCTTAGAGCGATCGAGCGTACAGTGGCACTGGGTGAGTGAAAGGAGAGAATGGAATTTTAAATTCCATCAGGTCTCCTTTCCACAAGGCAGCATGTATATCTAATGCTGGAAGGCGTGTAGCAATCAGTCGGTCGTGCCCAACGCTGCGACCTAACAAAATAAACTGAAATATTATGAGGTGGATTCCCCCCACACACACCCGAGATGGTGTGTGTGTGTTTGCCTATCTGTCTCCTGTTAAATATCGGGGAGAGGGGGACATTAGTGGTCAGGCCGGAAGGGAAGCCAGCACAATTCATAATTCCTTTAAAGGAATGAGGTTTATTAGAATGAAAGGGCCTCAAAGCCATAATTGAGTTTCGGGATCGGGGAGAGAGAATCACACAGAAATAATAAAATAAAATATAAAATCTGGAGCTCTAAACAGGAGACTTTAAAAGAAAAAAAAATTTAAAGCCTAGGGAAGAACTTCATAAAGTGCGTGTATTAAAAAGGCAGGCGTAGTGGTGCAAGCCTTTACTCCCACCATTCAGGAGGCTGAAATTGGTGGTTGGTTAACTGTGAGTTTGAGGCCAGCCTAGTCTACATACCGAGCTCCAGGCCAGCCAGAGCTTCTTAGTGAGACCCTGTCTCAGAAAACAGAGAGTTGCTATGAAAATTAATGGGGTGGGGTGGGCAGAGGAGCCGATGAGAAAGCAGCCTGCAGAGCAATTTTGAAGCAGACCGCTGAGGCATTTTTTTCCAGACCAATTTAAATAAAAAAGAAATTTGACTTTTTTTTTTTTTTTTTTTTAAACCTGGGATTATAAGGAAGTTTCATATCACCTTATCTGGTTCAATGCAGCTAATATACAGGACAAAGAACATGCAGCCAGGAACTCCTTAGGACAATAAATCGTGGACTGTTGTCAGTTCACAGTACAGGCAGTTTTACTCTTCATCCCACTGAGAGTTTCAGAGAGGCATCTGCTGATCGAGGCTATGGGAGTTTGCCTAAAGATGAAGGCTGGTGCTGGGTGGCGGAGGCACACCTCTCTAATCCCAGCACTCCAGAGGCAGAGGCAGGTGGATCTCTGTACATTTGAAGCCAGCCTGGTCTACAGAGTGAGTTCAGAACAGCCAAGGCTACACAGTGAAATCCTGTGTGCTAGAAGTGTGTGTGTGTGTGGGGGGGGTGACGGGGGGGGGAGGGGTGTGGCAGGAGAGGGGGCAATGACGACACATTAGTGCAGTGTGCAGGGAGTGTTCTAACAGCCACACTACTTTGGACCATGAACCTTGTGGAGAGTGAACTTTGTAGATGATAACATTGTGTTATGTTGCAATGTTAAGAAGCTAGACATGCCTGGAGATACTAGGCCCTGATTTCATTTTTGGCTAGCTTTAAAGTCTTGGGAGAGTTACAGGCTCTGCTTCCTGGGCAGAGGTTCTGGGTGAACGTGGCCTTGATTCTACTGTCTGATTGGAACAGACCAGACCCTATCATATCAATCTGTTTTTCACATAACTGCTCCTATCAATAATTCAAGTCAGATCTGGATTGGCGTAGCTTGCCCTTTAAATGTGGCTTATTAGAGGTCAGCTTCTAAACCTGTGAGTCATGTATAACTCAATGAGGTTGACCAAATGTGATTGGTGAGAGGGTTGGCAACAGTAAAGATTTCCAAACAAGTAATAACCAGAAATTAATTTTTAAAATCCAGGCATAATGAATTCAAGATGTCTCTGACCACTAGACAACTTAATTGTAATCTCAGTTTTGAACACACAGCACGCATACAGCATTCATTATACATGCTGTCATGCCACCATATGGTAAAAAATACCTGAAAGAGCTTGGCTAGGATTTGAGACTATTGTATATTAGAGACAGTTGGTGAGTGAAGGTGGTCTCCTGTGTCTGGCCAGGTTCTTGTCAACTCTTCAAGAATAGAGAAGGAAGACAGTAAAGGAAAACATGAGTAACTTTATTTGACATATGGAAACAAGGAATTCCAAGGATCTTGGTGGCAAGAAGTATTTCTGAAATGGGTCTAAATACTATTTGGTACTACATTTTTTAAAAGATTTATTTATATAAATCTTTATTTATTTATATAGTATTCTGTCTGCATTTGTGCCTGAAGGCAAGAAGAGGGCACCAGTTCTCAATATAGATGGTTATGAGCCACCATGTGGTTGCTGGGACTTGAATGCCAGTGCTCTTAACCTCTGAGCCATCTCTCCAGACCCTTTGTACTACATTTTTTTTTTTATGTACTACATTTTTAAAGCCATACTCTCAGCGTGGATAACTATAAAATAGTATCAATCAATTCTGAAAAAAAAAATGGTGAAGATGCTCTGCACCCCAGAGTATCAAACATTCAGCCAAGATTTAATATTTTTGTGTTTTGCTTTATTTTGGTTTTGTTTTTTTTTGAGACAGTGTTTCTCTGTATTGCCATGGCTATTCTGGAAGTCACTCTACAGAGTGATCAGGCTGGCCTGGAATTCACAGATCCACTTACCTCTGCCTCCTGTGTGCTGGGACTAAGGGTGTGTGCTACCACTGTCTTGTCAAGATTTAATGTTTTATGTAAACGTAAGCTGGTCTGTCTCATTAGAAAGCATTTTTTTCCATCTTAATAAATGGTAAAGTTATATATATATATATATATATATATATATGAATTATTTTTAAATGTTTTGTGAATTAGTATCACTAAATGTTTTATTTGTGTACTCACTTTATATTATCTATATACCTGAGGTTGAGTATAAATTTCTCAGGTAAACAAAGTCACTAGTGAAAAAAGTTTGTTAGGAGTAGGGACTCCTACTGTTGGCTTCTCTCCTTCAATGTACTTAGATTTGTCTTAAAGGAGAGAAAAACAAAAACAAGAGAATCTTCAGGAAATATGCAAAACAGGCACAAAATATGCAAAACTGCAGGCACAAAATAAGGCCTAGAAGGAGTCCCTTGCAAAGCACAACAAGACTACCAGGGCAGGGAGGTGGAGGAGAGACTCTTGTGCAGGCCTGCAGGAGAAGCAAATAGTCTCATAGCTTGCTAGTTCTTGCTTCAGTTTCTCTATCCAATAAATAGTTCTAGGATGAGAGTTTGAGGTTCACTGCACACAAGATTTATTGCAGCAAAATATAGCATACAGAGAGCACAGCACACAAAGTCACAGCTCACTAATGTGTGTGTGTGTGTGTGTGTATGTTTTTGGTGAGCAGCATTTGCCCTTGGGACTGTCCAGATGGTCTTTAGTTCCTTTCTCAGGTCAAACTCTGACCTACATGCAACTGTGGAAAACTGCAGGCAGAAAATACAGCCTAGAAGAAATCCCTTGCAAAGCAAAACAAGACCACAAGGACAGGGAAGTGAAGGAGGAACTCAGATAAAGGGGTCAGAGAGACTTCATGCTCAAGTTCTGCTTGCAGAGCTATCTTTAGTAGTTAGCTAAATAATACGTAAACAGCAGTGGAAAAAATAAAAATTGTTCATTCCTGAAGTGAATCCTGTGTCTCTGCTATTACTCCCCTATCCTAGCTCCTGTATTGCCCACAGCTGTACTAGGTGGGACAGATTTGTATGTGTTGTTAGTAGGGTGTGGAACAGGGCTTGAATTGGACCTGGCAGATTCACTTTGTGGATTTCGTCATTTTGAAGACAACAGGAACCTGGCTGGGTGAGATAAGGTGGGGGAAACCTTTGAAGTTTCTGCTTGGGTTGGGTTGGCCTGGATTTAGTGAGAGTGAGAGGTAGTCAGCGTGGTGGCAGATGCCTATAATCCCAGCACTCAGAGAGGCAGAGGCAGATGGATCTCTATGAGTTTGGGGTCTACAAATCGAGTCCAGGACAGCCAAGGCTACACAGGGAAAAACCTTGTCTCAAAAAACCAAAAAGAATAGAATGAGACTGAAGGGCAGTTAGCCCATCCATCTTACCAAAGGTGGGTGGGAAGCCTCTCCAACAGGAAGGTTTCTTTTTGACCAAGAACCTGGCAATAAGCCATTTCAGTTCAAAAGATAATTGGAGCTAGCTGTAGTAGCACACGCCAAGTTCTGCCTCCCAGAACTTGGGAGGCAGAAGCAGGTAGATTTCTGTGAGTTTGAGGCCAGCCTGGTCTATATAGTGAGTTCAAGAACAGATAGGACTGCATAATGAGATCCTGTATCCCTGTCTCAAGAGGAAAGAAAGGAAGAAAGAAAAAGAAAGAAAGAGGGAAGGAAGGAAGGAAAATGGGAGTTGGGGGCAGGGAAGAGGGGGGATGTTGTGTTTTGAATGATAATGGCCTCCATAGACTCATAGATTTGAATGCTTGGTTACCAAGGAATGGCACTATTAGGAGATGTGGTCTTGTTGAATGGAGTAGGTGTGCCCTTGATGGAGGAAATGTGACAGTGGGGGTGGGCTTTGAGGGTTCAAATGCTCAAGCCAGGCCCAGTATCTCTATCTTTTTCTGCTGCCTATAGATCTAGATGTGGAACTCTTAATATACTACTATTCCAGCACCAACCATGTCTGCCTGTGTGTTGTCATACTTCTTGCCATGATAACAATGGGCTAAACTGTAGAAGGAATGTCTTATGCATTGTATGGATGTAGCATATGTCAATAATAAATCTGATGAACTATAGCAGGAAATAGAAGGTGTGACATCGGGTAGGCAGAGAGGATTCTGGGAGAGAGCCAGGTGCAGGAGATTCACCAAGATGTGAAGAGGACAGACACATGGTGCCTGAGCTGAGGTAACCGCCATATGGTAGAATGTAAATTAGAATAAATGGGTTATTTTAAATTATGAGCTAGTTAGAAAAGAGCTTAGCTATGTGGCCTAGGTCTTTGTAAATACACTTGAGT